TACCTACTACTCTCTCTCTCTCCTCTCTCTCTCTCTCTCTCTCTCTCTCTCTCTCTCTCTCTCTCTCTCTCTTTCAGCGATGATTTTTTACTCTGCCTTAAAGATGCTAACTACCGCACTATATTTTAAGCACACGTTTTGAAAAAGGCGCAAAGACTGTAAAAGGCCATTTGCGAGAATTGGTTTCGCTCGTGAAAATCCCCTAAGTGCTAAAACCGTGATGAAAATCCAATTGCATTACATGTACGTACCTTTTTAAACTGTCGCGCAGCAAGTCTGACATGTCGAAACATCTGTTGATTGAATTTTGTTTTACAAATACGTATGACCGTATATGTTTCTGCCCATAACAGAATAAGGAACAAGTAATAAATAAAATACAGAGATCCTGTTTTCCTGTTTTAATATAGATTTATGCTATTTGTACAGATTAAATTAAATTTGATATTATATTGCATTACTGAAATTATATTACTCAAATTTAATCATTGCAATTAAGATTTAATCTCAGATTATTTCTATACATATATTACTTATATATAACAATCATTTCTTTATATCAGGCTATATAATTATATAAAGTTTTATATTTTATTAATCAGATATTATTTTTCAATCGATCTAATGAGATGAATGATTGATGAAAGTTATTTTAGTTACTCGATAAGTAAATTATACTATGATTTTCAATGGAAGATAGTGGAATACGTTAACTTTTTCTTACAAGAATCATATAAGAAATTACTAAAATATTCATCGGTGCGGAACAACAAAGGGATGATTAAATAAACGCGGATAGCTGCAGTGTGAAACACAATTACGTATCACGATAATTTGTAATTACGTGAAATAATTCGGTTGGGATAGAATTGCAATTGGTAGAGATACGCGGTTCGATGAAAACTGTCGTTATCACAGGTAAAACAGCACTGTTGAATTTATAACTTATAATAGCGTGCTTGACGCCATTCAGTTTTACCGCAAATCAGACAGATTACTGGGACCGATAAAATATACAGTACTTAGAAACGTACTTGAAAGCGATATTCGCAAGCTGATACCATGACATTTCACGTACGAATTACAAACTCAGGCTTGATACAGAACACCAATCAAGCCTGTAGACGATCGTTTCGCTTTCCTCCCTCTGTCTTTAATAGTACGGTTCAAGATCGTCGTCATTAGTTAAGCCCCTCTGGCTAGAGTATATATAGTTCAATAGGTCTATCACGAAGAACATAACAACCGAAGATGCGTATGTTGCAGACAATATATGACTCATAGAGGTTCTCAAACTTTAATATCTCGGCTCCGCCGTTGCGAGATACATAAATTTATTTAAAGCTTTCTGCATTCACGACGGCGCATAATTTGGTGCGCGATAAAGCGCAAGTTTTATGATGCGATTCGGGATAATGCGCTTTAAAAACAACCAACGCGTAATAAGAATACGCGTAACTTGCATAATTCACTGCAGGAACAACGTCTGAAAAACGGTTGTGTTCTCTAACCGTCTAGACATTTGGCGTAAAGTCATGAGGCGTATCTTTCTCTCGTTTTTCTCTCGTTTATACATTCCTTCATATATTGCATATTTCTCTAATCGCAAAAAGTTATATTTAACATGGACTATGATTAAGAATGAATAGAGAAAGATCATTTAACGAAATTTTTTAGAAAACATAATCAAAATTTAACAAAAATCAAAACCAAAATTTAGTAATCATAATTTAACAGAAATTTAATAAAAAATATTTCATTCATTTATTGTTAATATAAGACTTGTTTTGCATTAATGTTCTGTATTGTCAAAAATTGAATAACGATATCTTCTGAGTTTCCTCTTTCCAACTTTCTTTTTATTAACGAGAACTGACTAGACTTAAATTGCTATTAGGACACAAATGGCATTCTGAGAACCACTGATGTATGTATAGCGCAGTTAGCTACAAGCTCGTCTCTGCACCAAAGTTTCCTCTACTGTTCTATACCCAACTATCTGATAGCTCTTGTAATTTCCAAATGTTCTCGTTTTGTGCCATTTCTCTCTTTTTTTTTTTTGATGATCTATTCTTCCTTTTTGTTTAGTTTCCAATCTGAGTGACTTAACATCCTAACGAAGGCGAAAGGCTAAGAATTGTTGCGCTCGTTTTAAGGGCAAGGAACGAAAGGAATGGTTTAAAAATGACGCTGTTTCTAATTACATTTCGTCGTCCCTTTCCAATTATCACGATTTCAACGAGGGTGCACATAGTGCAAAAAGGTAGAAGTCAAACGAGGGTGAATAAGAAACTTGAGGAGGGAAAGAGCGAGAGTCGAGGGTGCGCGTTGAGTAAGAGAGCAGAGTGCAGGATGGCTGGGATTTATTACGTTCCGGTAGGCGGACGAGGGAGAGGTAGCAAGGAAGCGAGTGTTACACCATGGCGGAATAAAAATCTCACGTTAAGGCAGGGGCAAATAGTGTCAAAATTAAATGGGCGGAGACGAAACGAGCGCGGGTGCAGTTAAAAGGTTACGATCAGCAAGAGATTAAGTAACCACGAATGCGAAGATGCTTTCCATATCAGGCGTCGGTGAATATCTGCGAAGAACACCTTCTGAGATTTTGCCTCCGTCACGTCGACACGTGAAATAACAGTCCGCAGTTATGAAATCTCGCGACAGTAAAGTTTGACGTATAATACGTCTCGCGAACGAAGAATCGAATAGAAAGCAGAATAGAAGCAGAAGCTTCGTATGAAACGAGTAGCGTGAATGACATAATAAAATAAACACAGGCCAACTGGGAATCAGTGAATTTTTATTTATTAATATTATTTCAGAATAATAAATTGCAAATAAATTAATTGATAATTCGAAAATGATGATTATTTGACGATCAATTGCAAATAATATTAAATATTCTATTTATTCCGACTTCATTAATAATTTGCGTGATCGATCATGAAGTTTCAATTGCACATACAAAGGAATATGAGAACGAAAAAATAAATAACTGATGAAATAATAAACTACATCTTTCTCGGGAATCGTATGGAGAACTTTTTTTTTGTATTGGTTGTATCCTCAGCAGGAAATGAAAAGCGTTTCGACCAAAGAGAGTAAAGTGCATCACTCCATACATATCAATATGGAAAGCGTGTATACCACGATGTACTCGATATAAAATTTTAAAATCGTGAACTTGGAGTCAACACGCATATACAAAGCGAGCGCGTTGAACTGGTTAGCATAAATAAATAAAAGATATGTCAAACATCTCGGTGTCGCGAAAACTTTTTTTGCACGGATAAATTGGCTGTGAAGTTCGTAAATCAAATGATACAATTACATAATAAAAAAATTAAAATGTTGAGATATTAGATAATAATTTTTATAGAATATTCAACAATATTCAAAATATTTTATATAAATTTTTATTTAAAAAAAAAATTGCATCTCAAATTGATCGAATGATCTTAGCACATTTCTCTTTGCTCTTTTTTATTTACAGACATAAAATTTTATTAATTCAAGAAATCTTGTCATTTTTGAAAATTGTTTTTCATCGAATACTATTCTTCAAACATAAAAAATTTAAACTCTTTCTGTAAATTTGTCTGATATATTATAATTCCATCTAATCTTTATTTTCTGTAATAGCTTTCATTGAGGTGAGTACTTTATTTCGTTGTCCTCTACATTGTTAATCTTGACAACATTAGCAGGCAATTAATGCGCGCCACGTTACGAGCGATAACAGCCCTGTCTGCTATTTGAGTTTCGAGAGAAGATATATCGAAGAGAGGTCGGTAATTAAATTTCCTATGGGCAATTTGTTTTCGTCTTGTTTGCTCGGCCTCAAGGCTTTTGGACACACGACACCACATGTGTGTGCAAACATGTACGGGTCAGTGTACAAAGTTCTCCGATTTACGACGCTCCGGGAACGACGAGCAACTCATTTAACAGCACGAGCTCGTAATGCATTGTGAAACTGAGATCATCGAGTTCACTCGCTTTCGCAATGATAGCGATAGCATCAACGGGGTGTATTTCGGCCATGCACTGCCATATATGAGCGCGCATACGGACGAACGTTTAGCGGAAATTGGGAGCTCACGCTCGCGCGAGCGATTTTTCAAATGTGTCACTAAAGCTTTAGGGCTGCTTTATCGTCGTAATTGTAAAATCGTAAAAATAGCTTTGTCGTCGTAATCGTAAAATTGTAAAAATAACGACATCCCTACGACATCGGAAATCAACTTTATGCCAACAGGTGTGCGCGGTTACGTAACACGCGGGACTGCGAATTAAGTGATCGTCCGAAACGATATACCGCGCACGTTATAAAGTGCCCGCGTCGACAAGCCTGGCAAATTGAAAAATCGAAGACCGAAAAACCGGGCGCCTGATTCGAAGGAAAAGAAAATACAGTAGCGGCGGGCGCCCCGGGGCGTTCTGGCATTCCGTCGACAATATCGTATGCATTTTCGCGCCTCGATGTAATAAAGCTGATGCAGAAATATGCGAAACTTAATTTCCCGTCCCTCGGCGCGGAGACTGCTAGAATTTGAATTTTTCCGCGTGGCCTCATATTTACGTCTAGTGAGAAACGGTTCGGTTCTTCAGGGAGAAGCACGCGGATATATAAAAATGTCGCAGGGTGTGAAAAGCGCGAGCGGAAGTTCCGTGCAAAAATTCATGCTTCTCGCATCGAACACTCACGATCTCCT